TCCCTGTCGCATTATCACAACGGGCAGCAGGGCAACCAGAAGATTGATCGATCGAGCGATCGCTGGATCGATCGTTGAGTGCCATGTTGCGATGGATGATTCGATATGATCGCAAAATTTATGTATTGTGCACATTGTACATTGTCAACTCTTTGGGCATAATTACAGCAATGGCAACAATCGTTCGACCGTCTGACTGATCGATGGGCTGCCCCAGCCCCCAGCCGCCTCCCGATCCAGCGATCATTAGCAATGCAGTTCATTTTTAATTGCACGCACTCACATATTATTGGCTGGATGAGTCGGAGTCATGTCAATTCTCAGGGGACTAGCTGTGATGCACTCGTAGTCTACCGGCGCAAATGTGTCAATTAGATTTATTATCAGTTCTTGCTCTGCACTCTCATATTCCCAACTGGGCTGCAGTTGGACGCTGTGCAGGTGCTGCACACTGGGTCGCATGTCCATTAGTGAATGCTAAATAGCGCCAATTAAATGTAAGAAATGCGTCTTCGTCTTCGTCTTCTTCCCTTCTAAATGTAGACAAATCAACAAGCAATATCCTCAATCGCTCCTCTCTCTCTCGCTCTCTCTCTCTCTCTCTCTCAATTGCTACCCCTCTCGAGCAGTTCCCAATTTCCAATTCAAATGCAAAATTTTATTTATGAACCGGCAATCGTCAAGCAACTGACATTTTTATTATCAGGGGCCAGAGCGCGCGCCCAAAACTCGATCCAGCTGTTGGGCACCTTTTGAGCTCTGAGCCCCTGCGACCAACAGAGCACTGTTCAGACGTTGCCCCTGCCACATCTTGCCGTGCCTTCTCAATTGATAGCCGGACTAGCCAAGCGTCGCGGACGGCCGCGTTGACAAGCTCAATTTCCAATCGCAATAAAACGCAGCACTCGAAAAAAGATAAATGTGAGAAAAATGCAGGCCTCGTTGAGTCCAGTTCTCTTAGTTCCCCACACCCCAACCCCTCAACCCTCAACCCCTTTGCCACTCTCTTGTGTTGGCTGCCGCGGCCGCTTCCGTCTTGTTCGCCGTTTGCCTCTTACGCTCGTTCTCGTCTTTATGCAACACCGTCGCTAAATCGCGTGGGCTTATCCTCAGCACCCAGGCAACCAGGCCAACAGACGAACAGACCAGGCCAAAACTGAAGAGAACAGAACTGGAGAGAGAGAGGAACCTGCCGACGCGTCTGCGTTTGGTCCGCTTCAAGTGCTGAAATTTATAGTGGTAATAAAATTTTATTTGCTCCTTTAGTTGATGGCACAATAAACTCTTCTGGCATTCGGCCTGAGCACGTGCTTCAACTTGCCAGTTTCTGTTTTTTATATCCCTTCATTTAACTACTTGCATATTTGTTTTTCTATGCGCACATTTTTTGGTTAATATTTCAAGGCCATTTGCTTAGCGTTTATTGGTTGTTAGCATATAAATATGGTTTGACTTATGACATCAAGCTCGTTTACTTAGTTTCAAGCAAACTATTTGGTTGTGTATGTAGTTGAATGTGCCTAACAACGTTAAAACTACATTCTAAAAATCATAAAAATATTTTATGTTTACTATAAATTGTCATTTAATATTTTTCCGAGTGTTCTACAATTTTTTACATGTTTGCTTTACAATTAATTTGGATTTTAGAGAACTTGGCTGCTTATCTCGTAAATAGTTTGGCTTTGTGAGTTAGTTAGGCCAGCTAATTAGTTATTATTTAAATAAAATGCAAAGCAGTAATTTAAGCAAGCAGCGCAGCCAAGCAGAACGCTCAACTCAACTTGGCTTAATTGCCACTTGGCAACTCCACACAATTGGGCTAACTCGCACCAACTACCTTTGGTGAGTTTACCGTTGCCTTGGCTCCTCTGTCTGAAGATGCCGACAACAACAACAGTAACAACAACAACAGAAAGAAACACAAAGGGAAACGTTGATGGGCGACGCCTTCGCATGGCCGCTATGCAAAACTATGGAGAACAAGACGAAGACGAAGACGAAGAAGAAGAAGCATCAACGCCGACGCCGACGCAATCGTAAATCAAAATGGCTGCAGCTGATGGCTGAAGAATGAAATCATTCATTTTCATTTCATTCCATCAGCAGAGACAGCGCATGCGTGTGAGTGAGTCGCTTTCGGCATCGTCTCGTTGTCTGCTTGTGTGTGTGTGTGCGAGTGTGTGTGTGCGAGTGTGTGCTGATTAACTGCATTGCTGAGCTCTTGTTGTTGTTGTTGTTGTGCTTTGTCGCCTTTGATGGATTGGCTGCCATATGGGCTGCGTTACTTCACGCTTCGTTCATGTTGTTGTTATAGTTGTTGTTCTTGTTGTTGCTCGGGCCAGCTAAAGTCAGCTGTAGGAGGCAGCGTGGAGGGTGGGTTGCCGTTGTCGTTGACGACTTAAACAGGTAACGGGACTGGCCATATGCCATGCGCAATTCCCGTTTTGTTGTTTGTGTGTGCGAAAGTGGGCTGGGCTTGAAACTATGGTTGTTGTCTTAGCTAATTGCATTACCGATTGCACAGTGGTCAAAGGCCTATGAAAATTCTTACAAAATTTCAAAATTTTAAATCTACCACCAATAAAAATTAAACATTCTTTGTATTCTTGCTCTGTATTTTAATTATGTATTAATGTTATTACATTTTATTAAATTTGTTATGTGCAATTATGTAACTTACTATTTTCTCTAGACTGCTTATTTAGCCAAATAGGTTATAAATTCATTTAAATTGAAATTTCGCTGCTTTTTTTAAACTATTTGAGTGAGACAACTTCTATAAGATGCGAAAAATAATTTTTAAGTTCATTGAATCTCAGCCGACTGTCACCAGACACATTTCACTCACTATCTACAAGAGGGCGCCACATGTCAGTCAACCGAAAGCGACATCTGTCAAAATTGGCTTTAGTTGTTTCGGCGTTTAGCCGCTAGAGGGCATCAAACACGTTAGCCTAAGAGTATGCTATATTAAATGCTTGACGGACTTGAATTCATGTTGCCTACCAAAATGGCTTAAGGGGAAATAAAAATCAAAGGTGAGAAGATTGTTTGAACGGAAGTCAAAAGTGTTTATTAAGTTTATTAATCGCACTCAAACACCAAATACAATTAAAGCCCTTTTGCTTTTGATGTGCTGCAAATCTTTTATTGCAAATCAAATTTTAGCATTTGTTCGCTTGAATAAATCACATCAGACAAACATAAATCATAAAGTAAACACACTCACACCCACATCCAACAACAATAAGTGGCATACTACAATACTGCAACACACACACACACACACACATACAAAACACACATCAGACATTATTATCATCTCGCTCGTGCTTGAGTGAGTTTCTTCGCTCCCCGCGGCGATGAAAGCGTCCATCGTCCAACCGCCACGGCCAAGGCTGGCGCTCCTGTCTACCGTCTCATCCGCCCACACACCCCCTTCCATGGCCCAGCAGCCGCAGCACATGTCTGATAACCAAGAACATACATATCGCTTACTCGTTTACGGCCATCTTCTCCATAGGCAGAGCTAGCCACCGATTTGCCCGCATCCGTTCGTTGTGGGCGTTGGAAGGGAGTGGAGAAGCTGGGTGGTTTTGGCCTTTGCGCCAGGCAACGCTTCCTTCCGGAAGGCATTGTCCTTTCGCGTCGAACTTGTCCTCCCGGCCATCATTCTGCTTTCTCCTTTCGCCGTCAGCGGGAAATGTGTAATTGAAAGGGAAGCTTTGGTTTTGGCGCAAGAAATTATTTCGTTAACAAAAGCGGAATAGCTGAGAATGGAAGAATGGGAGAATGTGAGAAGAAGGAGAACACACAATACAAATACAATGCGCCGGGGAATGCCAAAAGAAATGTGTGGAGCAAGGGGGGCAGGTAACGGGAAAAGGTGGCAAAATATGCAAGCAGCGAATGTTGTTAAAATATTTTTAAAGTTTCACGTTTTCTCTCTCCTCTCGTCGTTTCGGGCATTTCGCAAAGTTGCAAAAGTTTCATTTCCGACAACAAGTTACCGTTAGTTAGTTTTCGGCAGGGTTGTCACCACAGTCACAAAAGACAACGAAGGAGAGAGAGAGACCAAAAAAGAGACATAGAGAGAGAGAGAGAGAGGGAAGCTGCATGCACACTTACATAAATACAGACATATATGCATGGCATTTAACGTGTGTCTGTATCTGTGTGTGTGTGTGTGTCTGTATCTGTGTGTGTGTGTGTGTATCTGTGTGCGTTAGCTGTCTCTGTCTCTGTCTCTGTCTGTCTGCATTGTTCGAGTTTTGATTTATGAGGTCAGAGAGTCGTGATAATGAGCCAGGAAATTAAATCACTTTGACCGGAAGGATGTCAGGTCAAAGGGGGATAACACAATTGATTTCATATTCATAAATTCAACGAACGTTGTCAGCTTGTCAGCCAGCCAATGAATGACATTTCTATTAGAATATACATGCACATAAAAAAACAAAACAAAAAAAACAAACAAACTATTTGAAATGGGATGCCAGGAACAAATAACTATTAAATATTGGCAAACTAAATAATTATATGATACTATCCTAAATAGGGGGCGGGGAAAGGGGGAAGTTAGCAGAAGGCATTAAAACTATTTTATGATAAAAATTAATTTTGGAATTTTTGGCAACATGGAAAACCTTTAGTTAATAAGCTATATGAATGGAATGACAGTTATTTTGGGTACGCTGAATGATTGACCTCGCCTTTCTCTCTCTCCCTCTCTCTTTCTCTCTCTCTCTCTCTCCCCCTCTCTGCCTCTCCTTTCTCTGTCTCTTTTGATGCTCCAATATGATTGGGATACTTTGCCAGAACTCGTCAAAGCATGGCATAAACAATTTATCAAACGGCAGCCCAAAAAGATCTTAAAGCACATGTTGCTCCAAGCTTGAGAATCACATGTGTGCCACAATATTCGTGGGGCACTTTGAATAGAAACCTTGTGCGAATAACATCGAGAATACAACTTGTTCAATTTTGTTTATTTGCAGAGTTTCAAAATCAAAATTGAAAATACCAACTAGAGGTTAAGGCTACTTAAGGATTTAGGCAACAGCAATTACAGCACCAACGGATTTTCTACCAAATTAAGAGGAGCAGCGAGGAGCCAAACGCAGCAGCAACCAGAGGAACAGAGGAACAGCAAAACGCAAATCACTTTATACCTCACACCACCCCCCACACACACACACACATACACACACAAATAACTTGATAAGTTTAAGCCGCAACTGTACATTGTACTTAAGTGTTCAAAGGATATTTAGGTGAGTGTTCAATGTCAATCAATCTGTGCTATTGACAACTGTTGACCAGATAAAGAGCTCCGTTGGAGACTTTTAGTGTTGTGAATAACATTTTCGCTTACATTTGTGGTTTTTTGGCTTCCCAATTAATTTGTACTAACTCTTTGTTATTTTGATTTTGGCCTGATTTGGGCTTTTTCAAACCCATGCAACAAATGCTGAACCAACTCATCTAATTGAAATCACCGAAATTCATTTTTATTTATTTATTTTTGTAATTTTTTGTGTGTGTAGATATTAATTGATATTTGGTATATTAAGTAAATAAATGAATCCCCTTTGCAGTTTACTTTGTATATAGGAAAGTAGCTAAAAGCACACGGAGTCGAGCCACAGTCACTAGCAACTAATTAACTACGCGAGATAACCTTGTAGAGATAACACACACAGTCACAGCAACAACAGCAACAACAGGAACAGCAACAATACAAACAACAAGAAAGAAGAAACAAAATGACGATGAGTACAAATAATTGCGAGAGCATGACGTCATATTTCACAAACTCGTATATGGGAGCGGATATGCACCATGGCCACTATCCGGGCAACGGCGTCACCGATCTCGATGCGCAGCAGATGCATCACTACAGCCAGAATCCAAATCAGCAGGGCAATATGCCCTACCCGCGCTTCCCGCCCTACGATCGCATGCCCTACTACAATGGCCAAGGGATGGACCAGCAGCAGCAGCAGCACCAGGGCTACTCACGCCCCGACAGCCCCTCCAGTCAGGGGGGCGGCGTTATGCCCGTCTCCCAAACGAATGGCCAACTGGTTGCAGTCGCCCAACAGCAGCAGCAGCAGCAGCAAACGCCACAACAACAGCAGCAGCAGCAACAGGTGCAATCACAGCAACAACAGGCGCAGCAGCAGGCGCCACATCAGCAGCAACTTCCGCAGGTGACGCAACAGGTGACACATCCGCAGCAGCAGCAACAGCAGCCCGTCGTCTATGCCAGCTGTAAGCTGCAGGCGGCCGTCGGGAGTCTGGGCATGGTGCAGGAGGGTGGCTCGCCGCCGCTGGTCGACCAAATGGGCGGGCATCACATGAATGCACAGATGACGCTGCCCCATCACATGGGGCATCCGCAGGCGCAGGTAAGCCCATTTCGCATTTGGTACGGTCGAAAGGGTAGTCTTAATTCCGGTTGCTGCTTGGCCCCCTCAAATCAGAAATAATAATAATAATATTAATAATCATCTTCCGCTTATAACAATCTAAACGCTTCATTCTTCTCTCTATCTCTCTATCTCCCGCCCGCTACCCGCTCCCTCTCCAGCTGGGCTACACTGACGTGGGCGTTCCGGATGTGACCGAGGTAAGGACCAGTTATGCAGTAACCCATCATTATGCTCTTTACGCGATTAACTCTCGTTGATGTTTTTGGTGTTGGTGTTGCTCGCGCTTTTCTCTATGTTGTTTTCTTTTTGTTGCTGTATTAATATGAGGCGTATGGCATTGCAGGTGCATCAGAACCATCATAATATGGGCATGTATGGGCAACAGCAGACGGGTGTGCCGCCCGTGGTGGCGCCACAGCAGGCGATGATGCATCCGGGCGCTGGACAGGGGCCGCCGCAAATGCTGCAGGGACATCCGGGACAACATACGCCGCCATCCCAAAATCCGAGTTCGCAATCCTCAGGGATGCCGTCACCACTGTATCCCTGGATGCGAAGTCAGTTTGGTAAGTGTCAAGGAAAGTGATCGACAATTCCACGAAACGTATTAAGTGGAATTTTTCTTCTTCTTATAGTAGTGGGTTGCTGTAGTTAGTCATTGATCGTAGTTTAACTTAGTAGTTGCGTACAACAAAACCAAAACAACAATAAGCATACAACTTCAACTATTTTTAATAATTAACAACAACAAAAAACAAATATATTTTTGCCAATTTGTATTTATCAAATTATTTATCAAATTATGCGACATTTTTCCACATAGAAAATAACCGTTACGCGATGATCTTTTCGTTCAGGTATCGTCTAATGAACTGCTTGCAGCGGTTGTGAGTACTGCGTTGCTAAGCAGTTGCACTGCTTGCTGTTTCGTTCAGTTGCACTGCTTAGCATTTCGAACGTTAAAATTATGTATTCAAATGGAAATATCGCTGGACTCAATGAAAATCGAATGAATAAATAATGTTGTATTTATTTACAGCCTCCAATATAAACATTGAATTTGAAATGATTTCACATTTTATGAACGCTTTAAGTCAGTGCCAAGTTTTGACTGCGCTAATAATGCAATGGAGTAAAAACAAGTTAAATTTCAAAATGACAAATAGAAAAGACGCCACAGTTAAACAATTTTAATATGATATTAACATTCAATTCAGCTGTGATTCAGTTCAATTATTTCCATTTGCTTAATTTGCATACAATTCGAGAGACGAAAAAAAAAAACATTTACTGACCTTGACACGTCTGAGTAATTTCACTTTATTGCCCTGGCCAATCGGTCGCATTAACCGTAATCCATCTGCAATGAGGACAGAAACACCGCCCCGTTACCTGATATTTTGCCAAATTTGCAAATTTCCGTAAACGAAATCGATGAATGCACTGGCGAAAAGGGCCAGCACTTTTGGAAAAGGCTGCGACAAATGTCAAACTGTGTGAAAGAGGTCGAAGGTGGCACAAAACTCTGACTCCGACTCAGACTATGACGCTGTCAGTCACAGACACAGAAGGCGGTCGGGTAAATAATGCAAATTGACAATAGTTTTGAAAACGAAAGCGAAAAGGTTTGCAAAATCGGAGCGTAACTAATCCAATGACAATTTCTGTAAAAGGCTCGACGCACGTGGAGCCGACACAGAAAACAGCAACTGGAAGAGGGATCGGCTCAGGCAGCCGCAGGCAGATGCCCGAAGGATGCGAACGAGAGTTGCATAAGTGGGCGAGGCGCATTTCCATGAAGTGGGTTTGACAATCCAAATATAGAATTTCCTATCCATTTGGCAGCGAGTGAAAGTGAGCAGAGCTCAAGTGCTCGGCTGCTCAGCTCCAAAGGCACTTCCTTTGCATCCTGCCTCGTCACTGGCCATTACCAAATCGCCACCGAGTTGTTTGTCCACATCCAGGCTCAGTCTCAGCATTTTTTTTTTTTGTCGTCTTATTCATTTTTGTTTTGTTCCTTTTTTTTGTATTATTTTGTTGTGCTGCTTTAGCCAGATTGAGATGTAAAGCAGAATTGATGAGCGCCATTAGTTACACGTTATGTGCAATGGATGCCATCAATTTATTAATCTCCAGAACACGCCGCGGCCGCACTCCATGCCTCCCATGAATGGGCCCCGACCCGACACCGGACGGCGTCTTGGACTTGGCCACAGCCATAGCCAAACACTTCGTCGTCTTAATCCCGCCGCCACACCGCTGCCTCAGCTCCTCCAACACCTCCTCTGCGTTTTGTTGCCGCGGTGTCAGCGTGCAATAAAATGAAAATAAAACAAGAAGTACAAACACATTGTGCGCCTACAACAAAAAGCGCACTGCAAAAAGCAGCCACTCGCCGCCAACCAGCTCGCTGCGGTCACATGAAGTTTTCTTCTTGTTTTCCTTTTTATTCACCTTTTTTTCTTGTATTTTATTTATTTTGTATTATTTTATTTTTTTTTTTGTAAAAAATGAAGGAGCGACACAGAAACAGAAACAGAAACAGAGACAACTCCAACGTCACCCGCAGAGGGTGCGCCCAAGTTGTCAGAGTTAGAGCTGGACTTGGACTCGGACTTGGGACTTGGGACTGGGGTGCACTCTGACTGTGGCACAACATGATCTCGAGCTTAAGTTACGATGATTAAATGCATACGAGTTTATTTTTGCTTAGGTTTTTGCATTCAGTTTCTCTTCGAGTGCAACCCATAAAAAAGAGCCAACACAGTGGATTGAAAATGCATAAAAAAAATAAATATTACATTGAAGCAAAGCAGCTGACAACTTAATCGAAATTGCACAGCAACAATTTTGTATAGTTTATCAATTAATATTGATCTATTCAGTCAATTGCAGTCGAGCTTATTCTATGGTTAACTATAACTTCAATGTCAAATAATAATAATAATCATAGTAATTATTATTATATCTTTATAACCACACACTGCACTCCACTGTATGTGGCTTTTAAGTACTTAACGCCTTGTCATATTTCACGAGGGCATTAGGCAAATAACCAAAGAGTGCCGATCGTGACTGTCGTCCAAGAAGAACTCGCAACTCACAGACCTGAGAGCTAAGGGAGAACTCGATTCGTGCACTCTCAACAAAGCGCAGTTTCAATTAAGTTGTAACTCATGGGCACAAAAACATTCAGCCAAGAAGGGGCTGAGGACACTCAGTCCTCAGTCCTCTGTCCCCAAGCTCCACTCCAGACTCCAGATCTTCTCCATTTCCATTTCCAAGTTCAAGTCCAAGTCCAAGTGCAGCTCTCGTATCTTTAGTCAGTCGCATTGTGGCGGCGTTAATATTGTTTTGATGCTGTATTGGAGAGTTGGCAAAGTTTTAACTTGCTTTTTTGATAATTTGCTCATAAGCAGCAAAAACTTGCTGCCCCTTCAACCCGTTCGCACCGCATCATCCTTTACCCAATGCTCTGCTGCTGTTGCTGCTGCTGCTGCTGCTGCTGCCTTTGTCGCTTGGCGTTGGGTCATAAATTTAAGCGACAGTCAACAAATATTCGCAACAAGTGGCTCTTGGCTAGACCTGAACAGAGCAGAAGCTGCCGCAGCATCCTTTACTCGGACTATCTGTTTATATGTGTGTATATGCGTTTGAAACGAAAGAGTTTTATTTTTGACCTTGTTGCGCCACGATGTTTATCTAAATGTGGGTAAATTTCCACAAGCCAGGCACTTTAGGGTTGAGGTTATTTTTTGTGGCAAAAGATTGCAGCAGAGCTGGCCAACTGATTGGCCTGGAAGTTGGGGCAAATGCTGCATGCAAAAGAAGTTATCAATCTTATGTGTAATGAGTAATGACTGATGCTGAATGAAATTAGATAAATAGTTGTTCGAGTTCCAGTTGTAGTTAATCAATAATCGTTAGTTAATCATAGAATGTTACAGCAATATCCATTTCGTATACCAAGTCCTGCTTGTATATTACTTCCATCTAGATCTTTCCATTATCCTTAAGTAGCACTCAAAGAAAATGCCTCTCAATGGTATTTACTCGAAATGACAAACTTATTTTTATCGTGCATTTATTTAAGAACTCAATGCATATCCAATTGGTGTACGTGAAATTCTACTGCTCATCGGTTCTGGCTCGTTTGAGGCGAACAACTTTTCAATTCTTTCGAGTATGAAAAGTGCACTTCATTGTGCGCATTATGTGCGACAGCTCCGAATCCCCCCATTACGAAGAGCGCCCAAAACTCAACTCGCCACCTTGCCGACACCAACCGACAACCTTGGGCCCCCATCAGTGTCAGAGGGCGCAGCCCAATGAAAAGAACTTCTCGCCAAAAAGTTGCACATTGGACGTCGTCCCCTCCGTGCCCCTTTTGCCCCCTTTTGTCGCCCGTTGCCTGTTGTCTGTTGTCTTTTGCTAAAGTTTTCCACGGCTCCATGGCTGCTACGTAAAACGTTGATCCCCGGCCATCATCCGCTGGCAGCATACTTCTCCTCTCCCCGTTGCCGACCCCATCATCAGCACTTGGCGCTGGCTTTGCAAAACTTTTGCCTCGCACTTCTTCCCAGCGACTTTGTTGTCTGTTGTCTGTTGGCTGTGCACTTAATGTGCCCGGGCCGAGTCCTGGCCGGAGTTTTGCTAAGTTGAGGATTTGCGCGCAAACTACTTTTCGATGGCAGCGCGAGACATTTGAGACAACAACTACTTAGGAAGGCGATTGCCCCGGCTTACATGCCTGCCTCCTTTCAGCTAGCTGCTGGCTGCTGGCTGCTGGCTGCTCTCTGGCTCGTTGTCCACTGGCAGTGTTGACATCGCATTCGCAGCCACCTTCCGGTGCGCAATTGAAGCGTGCGGATCAAAAGATAATTTGCCAAATGCGTGAAGATTTTTTAAACCAAAAACAGAAAAAACCAAAAGAAGAAAATCAACCAAAACCACAGGCCCAGCCCCAGCCACAGCTGTCCGACTAGCAACACCACCACCACCTACAACAACAACCACTGGCAGCTGACACGGGCTGTCAAAATGAAAGCGACAACGACAACTGAGCGGCGAGTGAGAAAAAATGACACAGGAACTTTTGGGATTTCCATGTGCGGCAAAAAAGTTTAATAAAGCGCACCAAATGCGAAAAGGAAATTTCGCTTTTATATTTTGCTGCTCCCCACCCTCTATCTCTCTCTCCCCCTCCATCTCTCTATCTCTCTCTCTCTCTCTCTTGCTGTCTCCATGTCGGATCTTGGTCAGCATGGAAGAGCAGTCCAAAAATAATGGCAACAGCTCGCCAAAGGTCCTCGGGGTATTGCCCCGAGGCATCCACAACAACAACAACAACAACTGCAACAACAACAACAATAGCAACTGTGGGTGTTTGTTGTTGTTGTTGTTGTTTTTGTATCCGTTGTTCGCATTCACTCATTTCGCTCAATCGCAGCGTTGTTTTTGGATGCCGCTTCTGCTTTTTCTTTTATTTTGGGATTTGGCCAACCTTTTTGACAAATTACGAATATTATTCATGCAGCAATGAAGTGAGGTAGCTCTCTCGTGGTCT